TACTTTTTAATTTGGCTAGTGAATGAACATGTGGCATGATGTAATATGATATGATTAGCGTACAACAGAAGGGGGTAACATGAACAAAAGGTGTAGAAAACATTTGTATCCTTTGTTTCATAGGAGAAATCTTCTTGTGTCCCAGCTGAGATTGGCTCCCCATTGGTAAAATAAAGTTTGCTTGAAATATTGATCTGAACCTTGTGTCGAGTGTTGGTTTAATATACTCCACATGACCCTGTCAATAACAGAGTCAGACTGAGCTGAAAACCTAATATTGACTAAGCCCAGGAGAATAAGTGTTTATGAGTGTGTTTGGTGTTCATATTTGATCATTTACTATCATTTGTTACGAAATGATAATGCATCACATTTAATTTGTCATGTGGGGGAAGTGCCATGACAGAGGGGGTTAAAAACCAACTGTAACACCTAGCTTCTGAACTTTAGAGAACTAGATACACAGCTGAGAACTTCCACTAGACGTTCCTGTAAGTACAGGTAAAAAGACAATGTTTTCTCTCTGATTGCTGCAAACAAGTAACCAGCTAAGCCACTGTTGAAGGAAACTGGACAAACTCCTCAGCTAATTGCAGGACCAAGAATCTCCAAACAATATTCAACTGTCAAAGTCAACATTACCAGAATCACCCACCTTAATGGCTGCATGTTTTACAATCTATGCATGATGGTCAAGCCAAAGACTGATTAATCTGTTTTTGTTTGACTTTTACATTTTTGAATCATCTGCCATTTCTAATCTGTGTGTATACATGTAACGTTTTATTATATTTCCTTGTGTTTCAGTGGCGAAGAAAATCACTTTCTCTTTACCTCAAAAAAAACCCAGCTAAATTGGCTTCTTTTGAAACTTCAGTACATTTAGGGCTGAAATTTACTAGAAATCAGTTGAGTCAGTTTTGGCGAGTTTCATGCAGAGTTTCACTTAGTGATCGCGGGCAAGTTATCTCACAAAAACCTATGCTACTCACCTCATTATGTAAGCACCACACACCTGACATGCCGTGTTTGCACTATCATGCAGTCACCAGCGGTGGAAGTACCACTGTCAGGGTTTTCTGGGATTCGCACTGCCCCCACCATATTTAAAGCCCGACTGTGCAACAGATCAGCAATCACTACCAGTCATGAATAACCATTCACAGTGCATGGAGGGCACCAAGCAAGTACAGCTTCTGAGGGCGTATAGGTGGCGTGGTTGACATTGTGATGTAAAGTGTGTCATTTATATACATATTTCAATATCATTTATTTTGGGATTTAGATCTAAGCTAGTGCCATGTGGGTTTTGGTCTGTGTGCATTAAGGGGTTTAATGAACAGATTCTCATTTCTAGAGCCATGGTTTTATTTTAGAAGACAGCATGAGAGAGAAACTTCCTGGAGTACTCGTGGGAATTTGTTTGCATTTGTAAAGTTTTATTAGCAAATAATGTAAGTACTGAAGAGCATTACAGATTTACAAGAAGGGTCCCAGGAACGGGAAACTTAAGTTATTAGGATAGATTGAAGAAATTGGGACTGTTCTCCTTGGAGAGAAGGCTGAGAGGAGATTTGTTAGAGGTTTTCAAAATCATGAGTGGGCTGGATAGAGTAGATAGGGAGAAGTTGTTGCCTCTCATAAAGGGAAAAATGAGAGGGCACAGATTTAAAGTGATGTGTAAATGAAACAAGGTGATGTGAGAAAAAACTTTTTCACACAGTGAGACATTAGGGTATGGAATCCACTGCCTGGAAATGTGGTGGAGGCAGGTTCTATTGAGGAATTAAAGGGTGTGTTGGATGATCATTTTGGATAGAAATAGTGTGCAAGCATATGGGGAGATTGGCATTATGTAATAGAACTGCTTAAAACACGATAGGCCAAATGGTCTCCTGCACCATAATGATTTGACAGCTTCCATCAGAATGATCAGTAATTTTTGTTTCACTTAAGGGAAACTTGAAATGCTTGGAAAGCTTTTTGGTTTCAGTTCACAGATGTTCTGGCTGAAGCTAGATGAAAAGTTTCTCCTTGAGAAAGGAGTTAGTTTAGAGAAAAAATAGGGAAACAGGTTACCCCGGTGCAAAGATTTTAGTTTGAATGTTCCAGAGCGGATGTGTTTGTTTAGAACTCTGAATGGGTTAATTAAAGCTGAGAAAATCTAAGCTCTATTGTGTGAATTCTGAAGGAAGATACTACCAGACTCTAAAGACCAGGAATGGAAAGCATCAGTCAAATCAAACTTAAGGTTGTAACAGAGAAGGTACTGTCTGTGCTTTGGGCACTTTGATCAGTTTATGTATTAAAAACACTTTACTCGAGTGGTCTTGTTGATGAGGCAGACAAAAAGACACAGAAGTTGGTTTTATTCACAAAATATTTCTCATTAAAATCACCATGTGAGCATTTCCCAAATTCCCACAATATTTACTGTTTATCTAGCTCTCTCCGTCTGAGAAAGAGTATTACCCAAAATGATCCACGTGTTTGAGCCGGGCCGTTGGGATCTCCTTCTCGATGATGAAGGGCTGGCTCTCTTCCATGAAGGTGGATGTCACATTTCAGGGTAGATCTCTCTCTCTCCTCCAACAAGTGGTCAAAGTTCTGCTGATTGGCCACTTTGAGTCTTCATTGAGGAGGTGTGTCCATGTGTGTTCTTATCCTCCCTCACCCCGACCTTCCTGGAGGTGCTGTGGTCTTTGGCAAATGGGGCCATGAGCTGGGTGCAAAGCATCCAATGGGGTTGAGCCAAGTCCTTTCAAAACTCCCCCAGTACACAACCCTGGAGCTAGTTGTAACTGCTTCTCCCTGAACTTTTGTAAGCTCTTTGACTTTGGTTTCCACTGTTCTCTGCCACTCAAAGCTGCTGGCAGCTGTTTAATTTCGTTTGGCCAATTTTCTGTCAGGCCCGATTTTGCTGGCTGTAGGTCAATTTAGAATGTCCAATTTTGCCGCCCAAACCCTTCTCCCACAGAGGGAATTCTCCGTGGTGTTTGAGTATTGTAAATGGATGCTCTTGTGATACATTGTATATTGTATTTTTTCTATTCTATTTCATCTTTTGCATCAATAATAAACTTCTGCTTTATTGGTAAAACCAACTGTACAGCATTGTGTGCCTGTGTTTCAGTGAAAGGCCACCACGTTACATAAAAAAAAGGTCTATCAAGCCAGATTTCTGTCTGTGATCTGACTTGTCCAGTAAAAATAAACAACCAAGATCATAGCAATTGGGGCACTTTGTAGGATTTGAATTAATTGAGCTGAAGAGGATTTGTGACTGTCCCTCCATGTGGCACAGCCTGACAGTAGTATTGCAATGTAAGGTAATGTTATGCTTCAAACTGCAACATTGAAAGAGAGATCGCAGATTTGGAGACTGGGAATATTCAGCCCTTGAGCTGGTATTGCACACAAGGGAAGGGAATGTTAACCTTACTGTAACGAGCCCTCCTCACCTTGGGGCATAACCAGTTGAGGATCCTTGCCAGTGACCTGTTGTAACAGATAGTCACCCTGATAATGAAAACCTTTATATGGAAATAATCTGAAACTGGGTCTTAAATATTTCAGTTGATGGGGCTGTAAAAGTTTGTTCCATTGTGAGATTGTCGTTGGCAAGAAAGATTGTTGATACACTGTCATGGAAACAAATGGTCTCTGTAGTTTGTGTGGGTGTTTAAGTAGTGTCTTGTCATTGCCGAGAACCAACTAATTACAGGGATGAAATAAATCACAAACTCGTCACTATGAAATGCCAGAATAGGGCATTGAAACCCCTCTGGACTGTAGTAAGACCAAAGACCAAGGGCGTTGAGGAATTCCATAGTTCTGAGTTGCTGGGAAAGAATGATTGAAATGTGCAATCAATTTAGATTTCAACAAGTGGAGGAGGGAACTATTAGAATAGCTGATTTAGCATTATATAGAACAAAAAAGTTCAGGACAGTAATTGTGGCATTAACAAAATAGTGAGTTTAAGAGGTGTATGTAAATACAGTAACAGCTAAATTGAGTATTGTATAAAGTTGCTTTTAACTCTGATGTTTACAATTTACTGGTTAAATTTTTGTCTTATTCAATTTTCCGTGTTGTGCAAAAATTTCCCAGACATTTTGCAGTTATTAGGCATAATATAGACTGGGCATCGGTGTAAAATGAGTGATTCTGAATCAGCAGCACATTCTACATCAGTATCAATTTTCATTCCCATTGACTTCAATGACTGCATTGCCTTGACCCTTTGAGATGTATCTGATTGAGGTGACTATTTAAGTCTCAATCTAACTCAACAGTTCTGGTTAAAATTTAGCAGGAGTTAATGAAGATTGCCCTCTCACATTGCTCCTTTTAAAGCAAACTGTACTGTTGGAGAATAGTAACAGGTACACATGGACATAAATATGAGGGTGAGAAGAATACAAAACTTAAAATGTTTTTGACGAATGATACAGAAAATTAACAAGTGTCATTCAGGTAAGAATGTTACCTTGGAAATTTAACTAAAAAGATGAACATCTGTGTGTAACTTAACCAAATCGTTATATGCCTTCTCTCCCTCTGCACCTTTGGTTTTCTCTTTTTCAACAGCGTTTCAAAATGTCCCAGTCTTTTTTTCAATTTATTATGATCTTTAATAAATATAATGCCTCCAACATTTGTTTTTTTTTAACTTTACTTCACTAAGCTCTGTTAAATATTTATAGGTTTGTAAAAATGAGGTGAGCAGCATGATGTCCTCTCCACTTTATAGCTGTGCCTGAAAATAGTGATATTCCAAACTTAAATTCACTTCATCCAGAAATATTTTCTATTAAAATACCAGGACTCCGTTTTACCAGAGCTAGAATATGGCTGTTTTCTGCACTGAAGTTCTCCCTCACAATAATTCAAACTCCAGTCTAGTTCTCTTAATTAATAGCAGTTGTCATGGATACCCAAACATTGCTGCATCAAATGCAGAGGCAACCTTTTCCTTGAACCATTTCTCAACAGCTAAAGAAGGGAAACACAGTGAGCGAAGCAACTGGGCACTTGTGGTAAGTATCTGGCGATTAGGGCAGGAACAAAAGAAATAATGCTGTCAAAATGAAGTGGATCTATAAAATAGATTTAGTTGATCATGATTCTTGTAAAGACCAAATACTGTCATCATTGCAACTGATCCGAAAACTGCTAGTCAAAACCTTCTGTAATGCTGCTTATTTCAACCAAGAGATCAACCAGGTTTCACATAGATTTTACAGAGCCACATCAATCATCGTGGCTATAACGTTGGTAAAGGTCAGCAGGAATAGGTGGATTGGGAGTGGGCAAGAAAGCAAAGACGTCAAACATGGCCCCAAAGCTCTATTTCCAGTGTTGGGGAATTGAGAATCTTTGATTTATTACTATAATAATATAATAAAGTGTCATGAGGTATCACAGGAGGGGCCATGAAGGTTAATTTAGATGTGATTGTTTAAAACAAATGCAAAAGATTTGTTAAGCAGCTTTACATAAAGGCAGCCTTCAATTCTGATAGCAATGATTTTTGAGTTGTCCTTTCTCCTCAATATGTCTGACTTTTCTTTCTAATTTTGTCAGACTTTTTTTTTCAAATTTCAGGTTGTTGAAAATGTTTAAGAAAATTTCCTTCCAGCAGAACCCAGTTACTTTGTTTCTGGCACTTGAAATTACTCTTTATGGTAAGTTATAGAAAAACAATCCCGAACACTGAACACTGCTGAATTTTAGTCTGTGCTTGTTTTCTTGAAAAGAAATACCTACAAAATCAACAACTTCACACAAAGGGTATTGGGAACCTGGAACTCTCTCTGCCAATGGGCTATATGCGCAGGGTTAATTGAAGTTCAAGACTGAGACCAATAAGTTCTTTATTAGGTGAGGGTCTTAGGTACCAAAGGATTATGGAGTTAAACTAAGTGGAATTAATCTGACTTATAAGAGGTAGATATAGGAGCAGAAGTAGGCCATTCAGCCAATTGACTGAATGATGAAACAGACTCAAGGGTTGAATGGCCTATTCCAGTTTCCAAAGAAAATACTGCTAATGCTGAACATCTGAAATAAAAACAGAATGTTCTGGAAACACCCAGTAGATTTCTTACAGAGAAAGAAACTTTAAAGTTTTCAGTAGAAACTGCCCTTCAGAACTGAAATCGCACTTGACTTGAAGCATTGGGCTTCATGTTACGTACCCCCCACCACTCCCCCACACCCACCCCCACCAACATGAATGTTTGAAGATGGGATGAACTCACAAAATGCAGTGAGTGAACTTTCCATTGGACCCAACCACCCCCTGACCTGTCTTCCATTTTACACAAGTAGGGGAATCTAATTACTTGGCTCCATTCTTAAGTGCCACATTCTGCCTCTTTTACCAACAGCAGCAGGAGGCTCAGACTGGATAGCTAGCCTTGATGGAGTTTGGCAAGGTAACAGGACCTCATTGGAGGCAACCCCCAACGGTCACACCCCACTGTAACCCTGGCCCTAACCTCTCAAATCCAATTCCCCTTCCCCACCCCTTATTTCCTTCGCTATGGTCTGACAGTTTGGTCTGCATCAATGCACTGAACCTAACTAGAAGTCTGGGCTCCTTAACATCCTCTTCCTCAGTCCCGGCAGAAACACTTCCTCTATATCAATTCTATCAAGATCCTTAAAATGTTGAAATACTAATATTAGGTCGGCCCTCAACATTTTCTATCATGAACCCATGAATCAGGAGCAGGAGTAGATCATTCAGCCCTTCAAGCCTGCTTGCCATTCAATAAGACCATGATTGCAACCTCAAATCCACATTCCCACATAACTTGATAACCTTTCAATCCTTTGCTCAACAAGAATCTAACTACCTCTGCCTTCAATATATTCAAGTTCTCTGCTTCCATCATCTTTTCAGAGAGAGATCCAAAAACTCTCAATACTCTAAGTGAAAAGAATTTGCCTAATCTCTGTATGAAATGGGCAACTCTTGATAATAAGACAAACTATTGAGTAATGCCTAGGGATTAATTCCTCAAAGATCCTTTTAGATGCTCCGAGAAGGACTGGGTAAGATATGAATGTGGCTTTCCTCTCTCTCCATTAACTCAAAGGAGAGATAGTTGCTCTTTCAGTGTATCAGCACCAACACTGTTCTTGTTTACAATTGACAAGTTCCTTTTTACATATTTGCTACCGTCACTTTGTCACAAGCAGCTGCATATGAAGGGCCCATGTTTGTTTGAAACGTGCCAGCTGCAGTTAGGATGTAAGATTAAGTTGTGAATTGCATTATCTGCAGCAGATTTGCAGCCAGGTGCTAAAGTTTCTATTCATTTTGATAACCAGCAGAAAGTATTCAAAGAACAAGCTTATGGATACATTTGGTGCAGTTTTGAATAAAATGTACTGATACATTGCTAACAGGCACACGTTTGATCATAACTATGTTTTTTTTATTTTACATTTTCAGGATTCTGCAGTTCCCAAAACCGTAAGCTACATTTCCTCCTAAATGAGTGTATAACTGCATGTAATCAGTATATTTCTCATACTTTAACCAAAGCTATTTAATCATTTGATAGTCCTAAGTATCGCTGAAAAAGGACAATTATATCAAAACTTCTCATCATGCACTCACCAGGATAACTCAAGAAATATTAAATTAAGGGGATAGCCAACATTATACTAGATGAGAAGTGGATTTTGATTGGTGGAGGTTTTTCTATGGAGACTGCGCCAGTTATTGATGAATGGCAGTTAACTTCCGGGTATTGTTTACACTTTAAACCTGGCATTTCTGATTCTGATAGGTGAGGGCATCACACTGACAGATGAGCCAGCGAATGGCTGTCACCAATTTTGTTGACTTGAAATAGGTGCAGATCATATAAATGTTCTTTCTGACTGCAAATAACATGCCCTGTGTATTAAAATATAAAACTTCCTGTACACATAAGTGCACCACAGTGTAAACCCAACCCTACATTGAGGTCAGTGTAATTCTTCACACATTCCATCTATCAAATGTTACCCAATTGCATTATCACATTTAATGCTGCACACTATGTTATGTGTATGACAAGTGTGAGCTGGTTTTATTTGGTCAGTGCCATGCTTGTTATGAACAGCCGAACAAGAATATGCTGCTGGATTTGTTCTGCCATTCCTCAGAACTTGTGGCCCATATATCAGGCATCACACTAGCACTGAAATTCATATACACTCTCATTCCCCGTGCCCTTTTACAATGGCTTTTGGAGTTTAGGATTTTTATAAAGAACAAAATGACACACACACACAGGCTTTGTTTTTTATTGAAATAAATCTCCTGATGACCTGATACAAAAGCTCTAAATTGGTACCATCTATCATTCAGTAGAGCCCATCTTATTTCACAGACCCCCAACTACACTTCCCTACAAACCACTAACACCCCCCAGAGTCTGTTTTGGACCCATTGTCCCCTTCCCTTGTTTCGGACACTACGTGCCTCCACAGGACACCTCCCCACCCCGTTTCCCCATTCTTCACTTGTTTCCCACTTTTCCTATTCCAGACCCAATGTCCCCTTACCCCAGTCTCAATCCAATCTGCCTGCCCAACCCTGGCACGGACCTGCCATCCCCCACTTCCACTGCTGTAGACCAATCCCTTCTGTCCTCCAGACTTGTACAGCCTGTTGCCCCTCTCCAGAATTTCAGCTGCCCCTTATTCTGCTCTGGGCTCAATTTGCCTCACCCCGCAATAGCACCCCCTTCTTCCCCTCTGTCCTGATCTGCCTCCCCCTCTCCAGGCCCTGCCCCAAGTGCCCTGACCACAAACACTTGACTCTTGCCAACTTGCCATCCATTTACTGGTCACACTCTTGGATTGAACCAGACTTAGCATCCTACAAAATCCTGAGCTTAACATCTAACTATGAAACTTTTTAATTGAAAAAGACAATCTGTATCCACTTCCAGAACATTTCTTATGTCCACCCGTTCATCAGCTCATCTGCTGTTGAAACACGCAATTGTCTCTTCCAAACTTAACAATTAGAAATGTAGAAAATAATAAATCAATAAGAGTATATTTTTAAAAAGTAGAAATTCCAATACACACATATCTGTCCCACATCAGGCCTCATTCATCCATCACTCCCTGACTGTCAATCCGTGACTGGCTGCTGGACCCCCACAACTTCAATTTAAAATTCTCACTTTCATATTTAATTTTCCAATGTCTCTACCCTTCACTATCTCTGGAAGCTCCTCTAGCCCACAGACCGCCTAGAGTTCAGTGTTCTTCTGGTTCTGGCGCCTCCTGCATTGCGCCTCACTTCATACCTTTGTAATGCTTCACATGCTTTCAGCTGCACACTCTATATTCAATACTGAAATTCCCTCTATAAATCTCTCCATCCAAAATACTACACACAATTTTAGGGACATCAACTCAGGAAGGATATATGTTGGGAAAGAAGTGTCATACAGGTTCACCAGGATGAAAGCCTTACTTTATGGTGATAGGTCTCTGAAACTCAGCTTGAATTATCTTGAGTTTAGGGCTGATTTAATCGAATGATTAAAAACAATAAAGAAATTAATGACGTAAGTAGGGACAAACTAGTTCAAACATAAAGAGACAGTTTAAAATCAGAACTAGATCATTTAAAAAGTGAATATAGGAAGCACATATACAATTTCACTGTAAAATTCCCTGCCCAAAATCCTGAGGATGTTGGATTATCAAAACTTTCAAGATGACAATTAAAACAGATGTTTTAATTCAGTATCAAGAAAATATGAAACAAACAACATGAGATAGAGATTATCTATTTATTGTAATTTTGTGCACTTTACTACATCTGTCTTTGTAGAAATAATTTCTGCATTCTCTTTCTTTTCAGCACCTGGCACAGATATTGATCTCATACCTACAGATTATAGATTTACAGTAAGAATCCTCAAGTACCTCTTCTCCTTTTGCTCAGGGCCAAGTAACGCTAAGTGAAATAAAAAGATATCAAGTTTGTTTAGTCCATACCACCTTGAAATGTATCATTATAATTTCACATGGGGAAAAGATAATCTTACTGACAAATATCTGAAAGAAGGAATGTGCACCACCTCAGGATGTCCCAAGCCATTTTTTTGTTGAAATGCAACCAGTTGCTGTTGTAACATGGGGAAGCACAACAGTCAATTTGAATACAGAACAGTCTTCCAAGCAGTAAGGAGATAAGTGATCAGATAATTGGTTTCAGTGATGTTGTTTCAGGAATACATACTGGTTGGGACACCAAGAGAATGCTTTAATGAATAATGACTGGGAAAATGGAGTCAAAAACCTGAGAGTTATTCATGAATCAGTTGAATGAGGGTAGTCTAAATATTTGTAACAGATGGCTGTATCCATACAGTATACTTAAAATCCAAGGTTGCCATCACTAACATACCGTGCTTCCTTTACCTTTAATTTTTAATGCTCCCAATAAAAACAGTCACATTGCTTACCCCTTAGCTCTCAGGAGCTAGGATTGACATAATCAGTCAAGGTGAGGAACCACATCTTACAAAAATTCTAGATAGGATGCTCCAAATTGTCAAACTCCTGGTGAGGAGGGATGAACAGGGTCCTCTTTTATATTCACCCACTCCCTCAGTTGGTCACAACAATGTTAATTTTTAAAGGATTCTTTCTTTTGTGGATGCTTGTCTCCCAGACAAAGTGAACTTATACTTTAAAAGGAGCCAATTTTACAGTGCTTTCTTGAGCTAAATGAGTGACTTAATTAATTATTAAACATAAGAAGAATAAAGAAGGAAACATATACACAGAACAGAAATGAGAGACATGTTCAAAAAAGTAAAAAACTTTAACAGACTTATGGATCAGTCTCTGAGTTTCATAATGAGAAGACGATGAGATGTCGCAACCATTACATTGGGTGATACAAATACCGCTGATGTTGGTAGGTGAGCAGGTCAGCTGAAAGGCCTTCGTCCTGTTTCCTTTTGAATGCAGTCTCACTTGCTTTCTGACTTCAAGCAGAGATAGAGACTTCCTCTCTTTTTCCTTGCAGTGCAAGGATGACTAGTGGTTTTCTCAGCTGTAACTCTCAGAGCAGACACCTTCACAAACTTGAAACTGCAGACAAGGGTTGAAATTGACTTTTAACCACGCTTCTTGTGTACACTTGAAAGAAGAATATAAAAACGTGCATGTCACCCAGACTGCTCTTTTCTCAAATCATGCTCACTGCCTGTGAGATTACAGGAGACTACCAATTTCAGTTTAGTTTGCAGTGTGTTTCTCCTGGTGAATTCCTTCTTTTCCTCGAAGCTTCCTTGACACCCAACAGGTGGTACACCATGGACTTTCTCAAACAAAAACAGAACTTACTGGAGATGCTCAGCAGGTCTGGCAGCATCTGTGAAGAGAAATCAGAGTTAATGTTTCGGGTCCAGTGACCCTTCCTTGGAACTCCGTTAGTAGACACAGGCATAAGATATGGCTTATGGAGGGAAATCATATTAGGATCCAGGTCAATGAGGAGAGGGATCAAGACTAACAGTGGTGAGAGGAATGGTTACACTTGTTGAGTCAAAAGGTATAGGTGATGCAACTGGGTGATGATAGAAGGCACAGAATTGGGTTTTGCATCTGACACACACAATTCTCCATGGCTCACTGAAAACACACATCTGGTTACAAGTATGTTCGATCAAAGCGGGAGGAGGGTCACTTTGGGTGGAGTTCATGTTGTGTATAATTGGCAATTAAAAGATTCCCTACTAATAGGCTGTGTGGATTTGGTGAGAACCCTATGCTAAGAGCCCCCCAAGATTATAGCAGCCCTCAATTTCTACACCAGTGGTAGTTTCAAATAACAGCCAACAGACTATCACACAAGGGAGTATAAATCCTAAATTACCTTATTTCATCATGCAGATGAGGTTATCACCATCAATGAAGACAGCAGTCTGCCAGTTCAGTCCACATTCAGTGTCATCGCTGGGTTTCCACAAGTTCAAAGATCATTCACTCTACTCATGTTCCTATAAAAGTTCTCTGGGAACACCGAGCTGCATTTGTAAATCATAAAGGGTTTCATTCCATCGATGCACAACTGGTGTACCACAGGAAAAGAATAGGTCTGTGCTCATTTCCCAGGGACTTGTCATGACACAAGCACCTTGTGCAACTCATTGCTCTTAGGGCTTTTTGAAGCCCCAGCCCAGATTGCTGGATGGATCTCCAGTGACAAGGCTCATGTCCTGCATACATAGCTTTGTCACCAATGAGGCATCTCCAGGGCGATGCATGTCCGAAGCATTGCAATCAAGCTTATGCCTGCAACACAGCCATCATAGAACGAGAAAGTTTGTCATGAAACCAAATGAGCTTTACATGGATACCAGGGCCAACCTGATCCACACAACGTTTGCAGCAAGATAAATCATCTGCATGACCATTGCTCCATCACCTTCCTGGGATGTAAAACCAGCCCTGCTATCCACCCAAATTAAACCTAACCTGCTTCCTCTACCACCTATAATACTATGGAGAACAGAGCTTGACATAGACAAGTGCAAGTAAGTGCTTATACGACAATACCTTAGGATCATGCAAGTCTCCATGTTACATGCCTGCCTTATCCAGACTACCATTGTTCAATTGCTTTCAAGATATTTTCTAAATCTGCCTGTTCCAACATGTTAATACACACCTCTAGAGCAGGTGGGACTTGAACATGGGCCTTCTGCCTCAGAGGTATGGACATTACCAATGGACCACAAAAGTGCTCTCAACTGCTTTGAATGCAACTACAGCTGTCTCATTTACGATTGCTGAGGTGTGAATCAGCCAACATGCTGCAAAATGGATGGATGGGGAGCAGTTGTGCCTGCATTTAGATCCTTGCTCCACAGAATGATTATCACAGAAGTACCAGTTCTATAAACATTCAATAGAGTGCACAAGAATGCAACACATCTCATTCAGAATTGCTGTCTGTCTCCCTATGTCCTCTCTAACCATCACATTGAGAAATATGGGACTGCCATGACCGTTACATCTGGTATTATGACAGGCCACACCAAATCTTAATTAATCAAAATGGTTATAGTAAATGAAATATGTCATGTCTATGTTTATAAGTGCAAACAATGTGGTAAAATCATCCAAGTCATGTTTGCTGTCAGAATTTTAAAAGTTTACTTTGTCTTCTGCCACATAAAGGCACTATCCTGATCTATTATGATCCATTAGCAGCTGAGGTAGGGCAAACTGCTTACAGTTATTCCCTCTTGGATGACAGTGGCGGGCATCCTCTGGAGGCATGAAGTCTTAAGGACTCCAGCCAATTCGGCTTCTCCTGCAGTATTGCAGAGTCATCTCCTCAACATCACTTGTAGGAGCAGCAATGGAGGATGAGAAGAAACTGCTCATTCCGGGGGTATCCTTAGAGGATTGCTCCTCCATCTAGGTGCACGAATGCACCTCTCTCAGCTGGAGAAGGTCCAGTGCCTTGGCACCCTCTCTCCCCAGCCACTGCTGTGCTGAGCCCATGGCTAGAGTGATGAAATGCAGGTCAGAGTGCTATCTCTCCAAGAGAAAGCCATGCAATCAAATGCCTGGAACACAGCCCAACCCATGGCATGCATGGACTCCTTACCTATGTGAAGCTGTATGTTACCTTTGCCATATTTTCCCCACGCCCCGTTGAACGTTGTGGCCATGACTAGATTCCCATCATAAGCCTGGGACATTAGAAGAGGAAAAGAGGGCTGTGTCAAAATCCTGGGATTCCCTCCCTTACAGCATTGTGGGTCAACCCACAGCATATGGAATGCAATGGCTCAAGAAGGCAGCTCACCGCCACCTTCTCTACGGCAACTGCAGACAATAAATAAATGCTGGCCAATCAGCGATGCCCACGTCCCACGCATGAATAAAACAGAACTAAAAACCTTGCAGACCCATAGCTACTAGCCAAATTTCTTTAGCTGCTGGAGGGATAATGGAGGTTAAATTGTATTTAACTCAATTAATTTTGAAGGATAATTTCCTCATTATTTGTTCAATTAGACTGTAATGAATAATCATTTTAGAAATTGTAGTCACTACAGCACAAGGCCTATGTTTGCTTGTGCTTCAGTTGGATTCGTTCTCTGTATTCTTAACCCCTTATCCTGTCCCTGTGTTAGTTAAGTCTTTATTTTCAAATAATGATGTAATTCCCTATTTTGTCAAATATTCAATCTGAAACATGATGAGGAGCAAATGTCGTACTGATGATATCGTGAAGGAACTTAAATTTCTCCACAACTTGCAGGGAACTACAACCTCTGTACTAAGGACTGCAACCTCCTGCTACTCATGCAATGACACGGAGGACTGTGCTGAGTATCAGCTTGCCAACTACACAACAGAAAAATGTGAAGATCCCAATGCTGGCTGCTGGGTATGTCTGTGATTATATTCACCCTGTTTTTATCCCAAATGCCAAATATCTATCTTCTGTGTAATAAAGTCTAATGCCTTAGACCTGTTGCTGCAAACCAATCTCAACAGAATTCAAGAGGGTGAATTAGTATAGCTCTTTTTTTCACACCAATGGTCTACTCCACAATACTTTATTAGCATACTAATTTAAGTAATAGCATGGCAGACCATGTGCAGTATGGTAACAATGCAAATGTCTGCTAACTGTGGTGAGTTCACAATCTCATGCAGTTGTTAGAAAAATCTGCAGGGATGAAGGACGGAAGTAACTGACATCTTGGGATAGTTTGGGTTGCTCATCCCTGAAAGATCAAATTTAAATTCATCTGCTCACTGAAGATTAATTAATAGAAAAAGCAGAGATACAAATCCTAAATCTAAGCATTGACTGAATAGAAATTGTACTCAACAACTTCCTGTGCTGAGGTCAAAAGTAATTAAACACAACATGTTTCCAACTAAGGTCATTTGAAATTTGAAGTTTTTTTCACTTCGTTTGGCTGCTGTGTAACTGTTCAGCTTATGTTTAATTATGCTGGTGGTATGCCAGATCCTCAGCTTTTGAACCCTTACCTTCTTCACCCTGATGAAGATTATAGTATTATTTAAAGAGGAATAAGCCAATATAGCCCATTAGACCTGTTCTGCCAACATCCAATGAAACCTGCACAATTTGATATAACAAGTTTTTCCCTATGTCCCTTGAGTGGCTCGAAGGGAAACTTGCACCAGGTGGAATATCCATCTCTTTCTAGATGGTATTGGTCACAGGTTTGGAATGTGCTATCTAAGGAGCCATGGTGAATTTCTGCATCATCTTGTAGATGGTACACACTGTTGCTAGTGATTAGCGATGATAGAGGTAGTGATTGTGGATGTGGTGCCAGCAATCAGGCTGTTTGTCCTAGATGGTGTCAAGCTTCTTGCATGCTGTTGGAGCTACATACATCCAGGCAAGTGGGGAGTATTCCATCACATTCCTGACTTGTGCCTTGGGGAATCAGGAGGTGAGTTATTCACTGCAGGATTTCTAACCTATGAACTGCTCTTGTAGCCACAGTTTTTAATAGGCTAGTTCAGTTCGGTTTCTGGTCAGTGGTAATGACCAGGGTTTTTACAGTAAGGAATTCAGCAATGGTAATGCCATAAATGTTACTTACCACTTGTCAGCCATAGTTAGATATTGTCCAGGTCTTGCTGCATGTGGACACAGATGCTTTAGTATTGAAGGAGTTGTGAATGGTGCTGAACATTGTTCGATGATGATTGCACCTTCCCAACTTCTGACCTTATAATGGAGGAAAGCCTCTTAATGAAGCAGTTGAAATTATTTGGGCCTGTAACACTTCCTTCAGGAACTCCTGCAAAGATGTTGTCGAGTTTAGATGACTGACCTCCAACAAGAACAATCATCTTCCTTTGTGCCAGGTATGACTCCAACCAGAGATAGTAGGAACTGCAGATGCTGGAGAATCCGAGACAACAAGGTGCAGGGCTGGATGAACACAGCAGACCAAGCAGCATCATAGGAGCAGAGAGGCTGACGTTTCGGGCCTGGACGCTTCATCAGAAAAGGGGGAGGGGAAGGGGGTTTTGAAATAAATAGGGAGAGAGTGGGAGGCGGATAGAAGAGGGATAGAGGAGAGGATAGGTGGAGAGGAAACAAACAGGTCGAAGAGGCGGGGATGGAGCCAGTAAAGGTGAGTGTAGGTAGGGAGTTAGGAAGGGGATAGGTCAGTCCAGGGAGGACGGACAGGTCAAGGGGGCGGGATGAGGTTGGTCGGTAGGAGATAGAGGTGCGGCTTGAGGTGGGAGGAGGGGATAGGTGGGAGGAAGAACA